ACCAGCGAGCATTTGGAGGACAGTCACTCAAGTTTGGTAAAGGAGGTCAAGCCCATCGGTGTTGTTGTGTAGCGGATCGAACTGGCCACTCACTCTTACACACGTTATATGGCCAGTCTTTAAGATATGACTGCAACTATTTTGTTGAATATTTTGCTCTTGACTTGCTGATGGAAGATGGTGAATGTCGTGGAGTAATTGCCCTGTGTTTGGAAGATGGAAGTATCCATAGGTTCCAGTCAAAGAGCACGGTAATTATATGTTATATTCATAGCCTTGGATTTGCTTCTAAGTAACACAGGAATATAAGATGAGTTGGCTTTTTGTTGCTTTGTGCTTACAGGTTTTGGCAACTGGAGGCTATGGTCGAACTTTTTTCTCGTGTACTTCGGCCCACACATGCACAGGTGATGGTACAGCTATGGTATCTAGAGCAGGGCTCTATAATCAAGACTTAGAGTTTATACAGTTCCACCCAACAGGTCAGTGTATCTCATGAAAGTGGAAGGATTATTTAATGAATATGTCATCAAACTGAAAGTATGGTATTATGAGTGTCTTGCCCATAATAATTTGTTACTCACAAGAAGTCTTTGGTGTCATAATTTAGGTATTTATGGAGCTGGTTGCCTCATCACAGAAGGTTGTCGTGGAGAAGGAGGATATCTGATCAATGGTGAAGGTGAACGGTTCATGGAACGTTATGCTCCCGTAGCAAAAGACTTGGCTTCTCGTGACGTTGTATCAAGGTCCATGACTATTGAAATCAGAGAAGGAAGGTATGTTATATACGTATTTGAAGGTTGTGTTATATTGTATATGTGACAAAAGTAGTGTATGTCAGTGAAAGGTTGATCTTGCTTTGCACACATTCAACTTTTACTGCTTTTCTGAAGGAACATTTTATTCTTTCCTTAAAAAATTAAATCCGTGGCATAACAGCTCCAGAGAGCCAAAGCCGACTAGCTTGACTGCTGGCCTCATGTTCACATGCCTAAGCAGAGGTGAACGATCATCCAACCAGGTACAGAGTAACGTGTGGTCAGCACGATGAACTCCCAGCCATATTGCTAGCTTTCCTGACTGGATTACGCTACTCATTGTAGCTCCCCAATTTTCTCACGATGCTGGGTTGGCACAGGTCCCATACACTGGTCGAAAGCTCATGAGAAAATTTATTCTCCCCCCGAGACTCGAACCAACGTGCATTCCGTATCGCCGGTCCGAAGCATGATGCCTCAGACCGCGCGGCTATGGCATGGGACTTATTCTTTCCTTACAATGCATATTTCAGGTGATCCTGCAATTATCTTCAGTTTTAGGTCTTAGCAGCATCACATTGTTTTGGGTTGTTTTCATCAGAAGAGAAGTTTTTGTTCTTTCTAATTTGTTGTCACTACGTTGTTGAGATAACCAGCTTCTTCCACTGGCTTTCATGTTACAGTTCATCGATCACTTTTATCAGGAGAATTCTTTCCCATTTTCACTGTTGCTGACTTTTGCTGGCTGTTAAGAAATTACTTCTACTTCTAAATGTAGGTTTTGTTTTATCAGCTATGCTAAAACCATTATGTACATGCAATAAAGTGGAAAAATACTTCAAGATAATGGGCTGAATGTATTCACTGTGACAGCACTCAGGAAAGTTTAATAAAGATAAAGATAGTTATCAGATTCTGTAGATAAACAAATTATTTTGCTTTAATCTAGTTTGATGGCTTTACTGCATGAAGTATATAAGTGTTATCAGACCTTGATTTGTCAGATAATATTATTGGATGATGTATAGTCAGCAGATATTTATAGAGAAATGAGTTATATTAATTCAAAGCCAGTAATGTAATGTTATGTTACAGAGGGTGTGGGCCTGAGAAAGATCATGTGTTCCTTCAGTTGCATCATCTGCCACCAGAGCAACTGGCTGCTAGACTTCCTGGCATCTCAGAAACAGCCATGATCTTTGCTGGTGTTGATGTGACACGTGAACCAATTCCAGTGCTGCCAACAGTTCACTATAACATGGGTGGCGTCCCCACCAATTACAGAGGACAAGTGTTGACTGTTTCTGGAGGAAAGGATGCAGTTGTACCAGGTCTTTATGCCTGTGGTGAAGCAGCCTCCTCATCAGTACATGGTGCTAATCGTCTTGGTGCCAACTCATTGCTTGACCTTGTTGTTTTTGGACGTGCCTGTGCAAAGACCATTGCAGAGGAAAATAAACCTGGGGAATCCATTGGTTCTCTCAAAGCTGTAAGTGTACATTAAAATATCATTCATATCATTTGAAGCAGTTCCTCTATTCTCCACATTTTAATGTTTATCTTCTAACTGTCCATCTGTGCGTTTGTATTAGTCATGCTGTCCATGATTGTACTTTTATTAAATTGATATTGGGAGTTCTTATAAAACTGAGGCCAATATTGTATTGATTGGAAACAGTGGTAACTGTACAGGACTGCACAATATCATAACCAAGGGGGTTACAGTCCATGTTTATTCTGCCATGAAAACCTCAAATCTCATATGCTATGTTATGTATTTACCTTCATATTCCAAAATACTAAGAGGCCTTTGAGGCCCTATTACTTAAGAAATGTTAGACGTTTTAATGTCCATATGATTGTGAGTGTCTTTCTGGACATTACTTCAGAACCTTAGAGCTTTCATATTACCAAGAAACTTTCATCATATTTTGTTATAGTAAATATTTATCAAACATTTTCCAACTCATTTGAAATTAAATAGTCTTTTGTATTTTCCATATTATTAACCAATCAAATTAAGAATAAAAACATAACTTTTGAACTTCATAAATTCCTGTTGTGGCATTGCTGTTGAACGGATAATTTGTGCTACATGGGAAGAGTGCACTGTAGCAGACTTTGGTTGCTTATTTTACATATATTTACTAAAATTGATACAGGTGTGCTACTGTGAGTATGGTAATGAACTTTTGGGTTCCATGAAAGGCAGGGAATTTATTGACTAGCTGGGTTACTGTTAGTTTCTCAAGATAGACTCTGATTTATAGAATTAGTTAAAATTGATAGACTCTCTTGCTGTAGGTGAGCCTTTATGATTATTCTACCGTAATGTGTGATTCCAAATTTATTTATCTCAGTATTGATTTTGACTGTATTTTTAGAAGCAAGTATGTGAAGGTTAACACGGACTGGTCTGTAATATTTCTCATTCCCTTTATCTCTTTTGGAACTTGTGTCTGCCAGTGGTCGTTTAAAAATATCCGTGGATCATGCGCGATTAAATGTGCAGATTAAGGCAAATTTAATTTCCTCAATCAATTGCTGTCCCCTCACCATTTCCTTTATGTGTCGGCATTGCCACAGATATCCTTGGGTTATTATTAAGTGTGGGAATTGTTGCTGTCAAAAGAGTAATACATTTTAAATATATTATGACATAACAACTATAATTTTCCTTCAATGTCATGTATCACTTATCTGTAACAGTCAGACCACTATCATTCTTATACATTACATAATATGCCTATGTGCGTGTGTCTCACTTCAGCACTGGCTTCCTTTTCAGTCTGATACAGTGAATGGTTGAATGATTACGATATAAATACTGCTATTGATTTCATTTTCATATATTTGTCTTGTGCACAGCTACAGCCTGTATATCCTGGGTTAGTGGGTACCATTGTTTGACACTTTCAACTAGAATATCTTTGTCTCTTCTTCCATGATGTCTGTCTCTAGCAAGAGATTGAATATGCTCAGCCATTTTTGGCAGATGTACATAAATATTTATATGACAGTATATATTTGCCTTGTGTGATATATAGAATTGATAAAAGACATAGAATGGAACTCTGGATTTATACCTTGTATGAAACTGATGAAAAATTGGTGTAAATTGTGGAAAATGCAAAAATATTTATAACATGTTAGCTGCCCCATATTTACTTTATGATACTGAAACTTGTCAGCAGAAGGCTAATGACAAATTTAGAATGACATTTGCTGGGATGGTGATGTTTTATAAAAATTACTTGGCATAAGAAAAACTTAGTTAATATACCCATGAATGGATGTATTCCAGAATTCTGGTGAAGTATCAGTTGCAAATTTAGACCATTTGCGACATGCTGATGGGCCTCTGACTACGGCAGCTTTGCGTCTAAACATGCAAAAGACGATGCAGGCTCATGCAGCTGTATTTAGGACAGCTGAGACTCTTCAGGAAGGTGTGAAGAAAATGCAAGGACTGTATAAGAAGTTGGATGACCTGAAAGTTTCTGATCACAGTCTGATCTGGAACTCAGATTTGGTGGAGACTTTGGAACTACAGAATCTCATGCTGAATGCCATGCAGGCCATTGTCGCAGCTGAGAACAGGAAGGAGTCACGTGGTGCCCATGCTCGCGAGGATTTCAAGGTATGACTTGTATTATGCTTTCTTTGCATAAAGTAAACAGAGTGAAAACATTAAAGGTGATGTCCAGCCTAGTCTCATCTTACATTCATGTTACTTATTCAGAGCTGTTGAATGGATTTAGATGAAATATGGTGTTTTATGTCAATACTAAGAGTTGATGAATTTTGTTTGATGTCATTATGATGTAACATCTTTTTGCCTACTTTACATGATACTCAAATTATATGAAATTTGATGTATAACTTTATGGGGATTGAGCTGTGCCTGGAAAACATTTCATTTACATCTTCAGAGTGAATATGTATTGGTGGACATTTTTGGAAGCCTTATATAGGGCAGGCAGTTAGCAGCAAGTGGGGTTTGAGAATTCCGATAGGCAGAACAGAATAGAGGGCTGCTATCCAATTGGTGATGAGCACGTGGTAGAGGAAGAAATGTGGTGAGAAAGGCCATAACCATTTTTGCATCCTTCCCACTTCATCATTCACAGTCAGCCACCTATTTAACAGTATTTATGGTAACCTATGTCTTTGAAGCGTCCAGGCATAAACTAAGAATCAATCATATTGATTGTTCACCAGAGATTGAAGCACAACATAATTTTTCAGCAGCTTTAATTTTTTTCATTAAGTCATTTATCTTATTTTTACATCATAAGTCACTCCCCATTGCTTGTCCATTTGCAAGTAATTAGATGTGAATTAGGAATCTGTCTGTGTTTACGAGAGAAGTCTGAATCTGAATTTACCATGCTGTATGTGGTGTGTAATGTATAACTGAAGTACTGAATATTGGAAGAAATGGCGTTGTTTGTAGATAATTACTTCAGCACATGTAAGATATTTGTTGCACAGGAAAGAATCGATGAATATGACTACTCGAAACCAACTCAGTCACAGACAAAACGACCATATGAGCAGCACTGGAGAAAGCATACTCTTACATCTATCAACTCCAAGACTGGTGACGTAAGTAACATGTATTGACATGGATATTTTTAACTTTGTGTTAAATGGCATTTTAATTTATATATTTCCTTTCTAGGTTCAGATCACATTCAGACCTGTCATTGACATCACATTGGATGCACAAGAGTGTTCAAGTGTGCCTCCAGCTATTCGTTCTTATTAAGGGCCACGCGCATACAATTTCGTTAGTATTAATATCAGTTTGCTTAACTTTCGTCTTTTTATATTACCACTTTTAGTGACAGAAACAATTATTTATCATCCCAGTCTTGGTCCCAGTCTTTGTAGGTATTCTGATAATTACATTATGTATTTGGTATAACTGCAATAACATGTCATCAGTGGATTGTATAGGCATCAGTACTAAAATATAATTAGTCAGTCAGTGAGTACAAAGTTGTGTTAAATTTCCATTCTGTAAACACATTAGTTTTTGCGATAAAAGGGCTTTAGTTTGGTGTCATTTTAGTGTTTATTAAATTAAAAATTTGAATCTTATGGATAAAGGGTTTAATCTTTTTCCATGTTTAAATTCATACTCATTAGTTTATTTTTTTTGTGCGTTGTGTTGCTACACAATCTTATCAGGCTTAAATTGCCATTGAATTAGATGGGTTTAGGGTAAACAGAATTGTTTTTAGATTCTTTTGTTAGTGCTGTATTGAAAACATAAATTAAGGAACTTAAACTTACGTGCAATCAGCGATTATTATGTACTTACTTGTTTGTCAATGATTATTAAAATCAGAGGTGAGAAGATAGTATCTGTAGGAGGCTGGTGTTGTGGGGGTAGCAAATATTGTTTAGATTTTTTGTTTGTTGTTTGCTTGTGAAGATTCATCTTTGCAGCAAGTAGATTTCAGTGATAAGTTTGTCAAATCATAGCTTCATGAACTTATAACTGTAATGTTAGTCTTTGTCCAGGGAGTGTATGCCGAACATCAATCTTGGCATTGTTCACATTGCTCATCAGAATAGTCTTTCATTTTAAAAGTTGCTTCAATATTGACAGTATTTGTAATATACATAGGTAACACTTCCATGCTTCCTCACATGTATAACTACAATATTAATGAATTTGCATAAAATTTCCAAATAATTTTTATGTGCAATTTTAGCACAGTTTGTTACAAGTTTTAGGTTTTGACAGCAATGAAAATGTGGATTATGGTGTTCTGATTTATGAATACACTGTATCATTACCCAGAAGGCCACAGTATATATTTACTTAATCAGTATCTTCTTCTTCTGTGGCTCTCTGGTCCATGGCCTCCTCAATTAACCTCTTTCATTCGGTCCTCTGTTAGGTCTGTCTGTCCGAGGCTTTGATTGAGGTTTTGAAACATCTTCCTTTTTACGTTGTAAGGTTGTTAGCCTTGCGACCGACCCCCATCCAGTTTGGTGGTTGGTCGATATAGTATTGTATTAATGAAAAATGCAACTTATTTTTTTCATCCGTGTATTGTAGCAATACAATTATTAACAAACTGCTTTGTTGACAAGGTGAGCACAGGGCAGGTTCAAAGTTTGGAAAAGAGGGTTTTTGTCAACTCCTCCTTCACCGTTACCTTTTTACACATGGCAGTTATTGTATAAATATTTATGTTGGAGTCTCTTCTGCCACATTTTCATAACTGGAATACCAGTTTACTTTGGCTCTGCTGCATCACATCATTCTTTTAATACAGTGAATATTAACGAAGTACAAGGAAATATGATTTTGAATTAGTTCCCTCTTGTGATTTTTTAGCGCTAATTGAAGTAAAACAGTATACTTTGTACATAATAGGACATAAAAGTACAACAGCTTATGGTTTAAAG